GTTTATCATATAATGATATAGCGTCGGGATTAAGCTTATAGTCAGATATTGATTGTTTTCATGAATGGTGTGAGTAAAACCTTTTAAAGTTGAACTACCTTAAATGCAACGTTATGACTTTTTATAAGGGTACTCCTACGTTTATTAGTTACTTTCTTGAAAATACGCCACTCGACCGTATATATTCCGTTAACGATTTAGGTGTTCTTCTGGACCCTAAACTTAAATTGGACTGCCACATAATGTCCACTGTTAACAAAGCCATGAGTGTTCTTGGCTTTATAAAGCGTTGGTCAAATGAATTTGATGACCCTTATACGACCAAATTATTATTTACCTCCCTTGTCCGTCCTATTTTGGAATATTGTTCGTCGGTTTGGAGTCCACAATATCAAGTGCACATTGACCGTATTGAGTCGGTACAAAAAAAATTTCTTCTATTTGCCTTTCGTAGTTTGAACTGGGATCAAAACTTAAGGCTACCTTCCTACCAGAGTAGATTATTACACTTGTAAATCGTAGAACAATGCTTGGTACTATTTTTATGAAAAATCTTATAAGAGGTGATATTGATTCTGCAGAACTTGTAAACCGCCTAACTTTCAATGTTCCTGTTAGACTAACACGAAATTATATTCCTCTAAAATTTGCCACGATGTACATCAAATTTTTGTCTGCACGAGCCCTTTCGCGTTCTATGTAATAATTATAACAATCTTTATCATATAATTTGCATTTCAACTTCTATCCCGTTATTACAAAATAATATTTTAACTCATTTGCTTTACTCTTAATTGTGCCTTTTATTTTAACTTGTGTCTTGTCTCTATTTAATCCAGTTTAAGGAATACCCGACCGGTTGGCAAGCCAATTAGTTTCAACCAATGCCTACATGACAGTTTCTATTATAATTCCGTTTATATACTAGGTTTATCATAAAATGAAGGACTTGAATTATAGACCGAAAACTGCGAAAGATACTATTGGTTAGAATTACCTAAAAGATTTTGAGTTTCAAGCCATTCCAGGCATAGCTACCCTCCTTGATCTTTGCTTTAACAAGAAAGGAAAGCTAACTTCGGGCGGAGCCGAAGTTGATATACCCTTGCAGAATACTCTGTAAATTATATTCTCCAAAATTATTCATATGATGCATTCTTAATACTCATAAAAAATCCCAACTTCCTAACTTAACAAACATCAAAGTTATTCCGATCAATCAGTTATATGGCGGCTATAGGATATAGTCGGCTGATCCTTATGAAATTTGGTAGGTCGGATTTATTGGCCAAATATAAAACCCATAGAAAATCCCAACTTCCTAACTTAACAAACACCAAAGTTATGGCATTTCCGATCAATCAGTTATATGGCAGCTATAGGATATAGTCGGCCGATCCTTATGAAATTTGGTAGGTCGGATTTATTGGCCAAATGTAAAACCCATAGAAAATTCCAACTTCCTAACTTTACAAACACCAAAGTTATGGCATTTCCGATCAATCAGTTATATGGCAGCTATAGGATATAGTCGGCCGATCCCGGCCGTTCCGACATATATACTGCGTGCAAAGGAAAGAAGGGTGTGTGCAAAGTTTGAACTCGATAGCTTTAAAACTGAGAGACTAGTTTGCGTAGAAACAGACAGACGGACAGACGGACAGACAGACGGACAGACGGACAGACGGACATGGCTATATCAACTCAGGAGGTGATCCTGATCAAGAATATATATACTTTATAGGGTCGGAGATGTCTCCTTCACTGCGTTGCACACTTTTGACCAAAATTATAATACCCTCTGCAAGGGTATAAAAATGTGGTATTTCTCAGCCCATCCAACTTTGACTAACCGGCTAAAGCTTTACATGAAGATACCACGATAACGAACAGAGAAACCAACCCGATTTTTATTTATGAGAAAAAATTTGAACCCAAAATCCTATTGATGCAATATGTGGAGAAGGAAAACCAGGCCGAAAAGTGGGATCCAGTTGCGTATTAAGAGGTAAGAATGTATAAACAATTTAGCAACAAATTGTGTTATCTTAGATTTCTACCGATGATGCCTCAAATATTTTCTTGTTCCCGCTTCATCGTGTGGGTCGGAACGACTATTTAGCAAAGCTGGCCAAATCGTATCCGACCGTTGCACTAGACTTTCGATGTATTTCACCAAAAATAATGAAAACATTTATGTCCGTGAACATCGACGTTTCTCTCCCTCTAAGCCCTAGGTGGCATTCGATATAGATAGTTTCCCTCGTCGATATCGAGTGGAAATTTTGTAGCTTTAAAGCCTGTTCGGACAGAAGGGCTCTCGATAGAATTCAACCGCTTCAGAGCTAGATGGAGAAAGATAACACCGCATTTTTCCTATGACCCAGATGATGCCGAGACACGATAACCTTCTCCTGACCTTCATTTTCCGCGGCCAGGACCGCTCCCAAGCCGACGTCAGTTGCTTCGGTTTGTAACACAAACTTTGGTCAAAATCTGAACATGTATATGTCTTTCATAGCCGCCTGCTGTTCGGGTGTCCAGGTCCATTTCTGTCCCTCTTTCAGCCACACAGTCACAAGTTGCACCTTTTCGTGGTTAGTCTGAACTTAGTCGCCGCTAATCACGTGTTCAAGATAAGCAAATTTCTGCTTAAAGAACGTCCATTTCTTAGATTTGCGAAATTACGCTCTTCCGTAGCACCTATAAAGGTGATGACATCCAAGTAAGCAAAGGCGAACGGTTCCATTCTCCGATCCAGAAGGGGGGCATTACCAGCATAGGTACATTCGGTGCATTTTGTCGGCAGCACTCCATGGCACTATGGGGTTTTTGACCTGTTTTTGTGGCATTAATTAATAATTAATTAATAACTCGGTCAGTTTTGGAGATATCGACATGAAACTTTACCAACCGTCATTGTTTGTCCCTAGGCACATATCGTTCGGATCAGGAAACAATATATTATAGCTCCCATATGAACAATCGGTTAAAACTAAAAAAAAATTATTGAAATTTAATGAGCTGAAATTTGTTGCTTCATGCCTATTAAAGTGGATGATAATAAGTGCAACAAAAGCAAAAAGAAAAAATTTCATCAAACTCAAAACTTATCGGCAGCCACGGATACATATCGACTATCAATTCGCCAGTTTGTAGGCAAAATGATTCGAATTTGTCCAAATTGACAAAACTGACAGGACAAACATATCAAAATGATCCTCATATTATAAATAATTTGTTCATCAAACATTGTATAGCCTTTTCTTGCTTAAGCCGGCCCTTCTCGCTATTCCAAACAGCAACCAAGTCGGCGTTGGAGAAAGTGAGGTTATCTAAGAATAATTCAAATTGCACCAATATTTCGGAAAAGTGCACAATAAGACTAACAGATTTTTGCTCAGAATTGACAACGCTACAACATACACTTGGACGCACTGAAAACTAATGCAAACTTCTATTTCAAAACTCTTCCCAAATTTGAAATTTGTTCCTCAAAATTCAGCTTAGGGTGCATTTATAAAATGACAAAATGTTAGTATAAACACGCACAAAACAATTAATACATTTAACATATAATACAAACCTGTGAGATCAGTTTCCATTTATTTTTTTCTTTTCAAATGATGTTTTACACGAATAAATTCATTTCACAGAACGCTTCGAAAAAATTGCAAACTTAGCGCAGGTGCTTTCGGATGCAACAGCTGACTTTACAGCTGTTCTGCTAACATATGCTGTTAAGTATTAACATTTTGAGTATGAGGCATAACAGTTTGATGTTCTGTTAATACGTTCCTATTAATGCATTTTTTTTTTAATTAGAGCACTTTTAAAAAATGGCTAAATGCCACATAAAGTGGTCAAAAACCCCATAGTACATGATTAACACTCATACAGGCCAAAATCCCAACAGAAGTCAAGGGGTGGGTTGGAGTAGTATCGTCTGAAAGTACCGCTTTCTCCGCAACGAGCGCATATCCGCATACGTCCACGTCTAAGTGGTTACCTTTTAATTCCGAAAAGGGTCCGGCGATGGTCAAAGTTGGAGCCCCTCACCAGTGCAACTCCGCCCGAGTTTATTCGAGTTGCTTGACACTCTCATAATCGGTCGCCATGTGGCTCAGCTGTCTCATTTCTATATCGAAAGCTAAGTTGTCATTGGAAAGTTGTGTGCTTTGTAGTCATGACTCTTTCCACGTTTTGTTTAATACATTTATGTTCTCGCGAGCTTCAAAGATTTAAAAACTCAAAGCTTGTTGTCTTTTTCCTTTCTTAAATACCAATCTCTCTTAATCAACGGTTACCATAACGTTGCACACATGTGTAGAGATGGTAAAGATGCCGAAAATATCGACATATTTGTTTTTATACCCTTGCAGAGGGTATTATAATTTTGGTCAAAAGTGTGCAACGCAGTGAAGGAGACATCTCCGACCCTATAAAGTATATATATTCTTGATCAGGATCACCTCCTGAGTTGATATAGCCATGTCCGTCTGTCCGTCTGTCTGTCCGTCTGTCCGTCTGTCTGTTTCTACGCAAACTAGTCTCTCAGTTTTAAAGTTATCGAGTTCAAACTTTGCACACACCCTTCTTTCCTTTGCACGCAGTATATATGTCAGAACGGCCGGGATCGGCCGACTATATCCTATAGCTGCCATATAACTGATTGATCGGAAATGCCATAATTTTGGTGTTTGTAAAGTTAGGAAGTATGGATTTTCTATGGCTTTTATTTTTGGCCAATCAATCCGACCTATCAAATTTCATAAGGATCGGCCGACTATATCCTATAGCTGCCATATAACTGAACGATCGGAAATGCCATAACTTTGGTGTTCTTAAAGTTAGGAAGTTGGGATATTTTATAAGTATTAAGAATGCATCATATGAATAATTTTGGAGAATATAATATATACAGTATTCTGCAAGGGTATATCAAATTCGGCTCCGCCCGAAGTTAGCTTTCCTTTCTTGTTATTACTTCATTTGAATCCTTACATTTTATGGATAGACCAACGCTTTATTTAACTGTAATTTGAAATAAATTTGTATGCTCTTCGACATTAGGTTTCAAAATAATCAAACTAAACATTTTATTATATTGTAAGTTGTGAAAACCTACTATTTTATGTTAGTTCTTAGTGCATATATATATTAAAGTTATTTTTGAGTGTTTATAAATTTATTAAAAGCGGATTTTACCTTATTCAAATATATTTTAGTGTTAGTTTCATGATTCTTAAAGTTTTACATTTCATTTAATTTAGGCACTTTCACAATTTTGGGTTTGTTCGTAAATATACAAATATTGTCATCAGCCTATCTTAAAGTTTAATACAATAAGTCTAATCTATGTTAATAACACATAATTTTCATATCGATTCAATAAAATGTAATAGAACATATTTCTTATATTAAAACACTTCCGTTTTGACTTTGCAGATAACCGAGGATATCTATGTATATATTTACCGGACGGAAAATAGGAAATGTAAAGGCAGATATCGAGCAAGCTGTGGAAAAGAATGTATTTAAAAATAATTTATTGAATTAAGATACGAGTATAACTTACGCTAAGGGCATCCACACTCATCAACAACCATTTTTGGCAAGTCTCTTTTAATGATTCCATCATCTCCATAGTATATTAATGACATACTAGAGAATTTTATTGGGGCGCAACAGGGTCGCATGCCATTCAAGAGGCCCATTTTTCGATACTCCTCTATAAAATGAGCATGAAATGTTTGGAAAGTGTCGGGTGTCCGAAACGACCCTGTGCAATCGCCTCTACAATAGTTGGCAAAGTATCCTCTGGGTGCAATAATCCAGTCATCCCAACCAAGTGCCTTAAATGATACATAGAATGACTCTTTGCAGCATTGTCCACTCAAAGCACCGCCACAATCTACAGCTCGTCTTCGTACACGTCTTGTCCGTGCTGATTCCGTATGAAGTACGAGAAATGGTCGATTGGGATTAGGGCTTAAGTAGTCCGATGAGTTATCTCTAAGTTTTGAAGTTTGGAATAGGTGCAGTGAGTAGCGACCACCGCATCCAGTGCAATCAATCAGTAGTCGCAGTTTCTCATTATTGTTATGGCCATACCACTCACGGATTGTTTCGGTCAGATCAAATTTTTGCCATCCTAGATGTTTGGTGTTAACTTCAAAAGAAGCACGAAATAGGATAGCCTTGTCTAGTCCCTAATAAAAAAATGTGTTAAAATCTTAAGAATTAGAGCAAAATAATCGTAATAATACCTTTTCCGTAATATTAATCGCTGTTGATAATTGAAATACCCAGATTTTAATTCTGTGATGAGGTTTATTTGCCCTCCATTTTCGTTTAATATTAAGCAAATGCTCTTCCTGCAAATTTTTTGCTCTTTCGATCCAGAAACTGTGTGGCTTGTCGATCCGTATGTGAATCTGAGCGCTGCGTATGGATAGTTTTTGGTTAGGAACACGGCGATTTTGTGGCGCAAATTCAAGTATTCGGTATTGTCGATATTGTGTTCCTTGAAATAAGATATATTATGATGGTTGAATATTATTAGATAATGGACCAAATTTAAGCTCTTGATGTGGAATCATAAATTATACAATCGAAGAAAAATGTCCGTGATTTATAAAAATCTGAATTGATATAGAAGTAAATATAAATTTGTCTGAATTAAAAAATGTAGATTTTCGAACTTATTCAAAATCATAGATCATTTTCGTTGGTTTGTAAATTCTTGTCTAGAATAACATGGTATTGTTTTTTTAAAAAAATTAATTATATCCTAAATGTTAGTAATTGAAAATCAAAAACTGAGTTATCTGAAAAATAGAAAAACAGGATAGAAAAAAAAATAATTTATCGGTGAGATTTATAATTTGTATTTTTACCTAATAAGTATTGGCATAAGATTGGGAAAAACTTTTTTGGCAGTAAGCAAATATTTTATTGTTATAACACCTGGAAGCTTATTAAATACTTTTAAAAGTTAAGTACAGTTAAGCCGACTTAGAGCCGGTTTCCCGTCGCACTGCCAAATTTCTCGGACATTTGGTATACTCAAACGCCAAAGTGAGCACGAGACCCATACTCCCTGTAAAGTACTCGACAAAATTATTCTATTCATGAGACAGAAAGAAGATTCAATCAATCAAAGCAACCCTTTGCTTGAGCTTCAATAGTTTAACTGAAGATAGAATCGTTTTTATCTTTGTCGAAACGTCGAACAAGACTTATCTGGTTGTCCAAATCCCTGTCAATGTCAGCTCTCACATTGACGTTGGGGACAAAAAAAATATTTTGTTCATATTTGTGCAGATCGAATTCAAGTTAATCAATTGAAAGGGTCTTTCACTTCATCAGACCTGACTATGTTGAATTAGGGTATGTTTTAATTTTTCGGTCTTTCCTATCGCACCTATTTAACAAAGTCGTAAGAATTTTTGCAACCGATTTGTGCAAAGATTGACAATTTTTACGCGAAATCGAATATTTAACATTGAGTCGATTTTTCATAAACATAGCTGAATTTTTCTTTTTGAATGAATCCCAAATTTTTTTCTTGGGACTATGTAAAAATAAAAAATTAATACAGAAAGTAAGAGAAGGAAAACAATATAAGGAATAATAAAACTACGTATTAATAAATGAAAAAATACTATGTTTAGGATTCCAAAATCCAAAAATGACAAAGGAATAATTAATATTGCCAAAACTAGGAAATATACTAAGAACTTAAACTCAGAAATTAGAAGCATTTCTGTTTTCTGTCAACAATAAAAATGGCTCTCACTAGTGGAATAATTTTTATGTATTGGGTTGCCCATCAACTTAAAAAGAAGGTGCGGTTTTATTTTGGTACAATTTTATTAAAAACCGTTTATTTCTTTGAAAAATATAACACAAGATTGCTTATTCTTTACTACGCATCGTTTATAAAAACGAATTCCAATCAGTTTTAAATTGCTGTTTATTATATAAATTTACGCTAATTTAGATTTTCTAAAAATTAGAATGTTTCCAATTATTGTATTCCATGTTAATATTTCTTACCTTTAATTTGTTTATTTTGCAAGTGTGTGTTTTCTAATTTGCATAGAAATCGTTTTTTTTAATCATATGTTCCAACTAAATTCTCAACGAATATGTTTGATTTGTCTGTGTTTTGCTGATAAAAGCTAATTATTTATATTTAAATATTATGGAATGACGGTTTTAATTAAATTAAAATCGGACAACAACATCATATAGCTGCCATAGAAACGGTGGCAAAATGTGTTCAATTTGTAATATCTGCAAGGGTATATAAACTTCGGCGTGTCGAAGTTTGTTTCCTGTCTTGTTTTTTGTAATTTTCGTAACTGTAGAAAAATGATATTTCTTTTCCGGGCAAACTGGAATTTGGATTTTTTGTACAAATTTGAGTTATGCTTTATATATTCACTTCTTTATTAATCGTAGTTTATCGTATCTTTTAACTCACCTTTAAATCATTTTATCTTAAAGTAGTTTCTAAATATGAATATTTCATACGTTTTCTTATTTCAATATCTTAATATAGTTTGAGTAAATACGTATCCCTATATTTCCTTATGCGAATCAAGAATGTTTAGTAATAACAACTTGGACAAAACTAAATTGAGAGAGATAGATTTAAACGGAGCGACTAATTTCTTGTCGACGCTGATTAAGAGCAGGGTTAGGCAAATAAAAAAGTCAAATCAAATTAGTATTAATTTGAGGCAAAACGAAGTTTTAGAAAAACCGCATTTAAAGTTTAAAAATAAAAAAAATTTGCAATTAATAAAACCACAAAACATATTTTGGATTCGTTATTTGTGGCGAAAAGCCGAGTGAACAAATTAATTAAAATAAAACATATACATTAATAATATTTCATTTAGCTTTAATTTGAACCATAAAGTTTTGTGGTCGGATAATTTTTGGAAGCTTTGATTTTGGGAAAAATGTATTTAAAATTCTATTTCATACACCTCATATATCTTAAAAAATGATGTTAGATATCGAAATATTCTTTCTCTTACACATTCTTTATGGGTTAAAAGAGTTTTATTGTTGCTACGTTGTCCCTTTCCCACCGATACCGACTTACCTTCTTCTGCAAATGTAATTATTTCTTGAGTATTTCCAAAGAAGTCTTCATGATCAATATTTTCCTGGTCATGAACAACCGGTTCAAAATGTCTCTTCTGTTTTTGATCTTCAATATTTTGGACCATTGGATGATATCCAATGCCAGAGATACTTCCAAGGTACTGGCCTTTATCATGAGTCTGAACACTGTAATCGGTAAAATAATCATGAGCCTTACGCCGGATGTCATCATTTATGCCGATATTGACACTACTATCACTACTTTGATTTATATCTAACAGATATGTAGATTTTCTAAACGCATTCGCATTCATTGGTTTGCCCTGCATGACATTATCTTTCCTGCTGTGTCCATTCTGCATCTTGCCAAAACTGCTAGGGCGGCTTTTGAGTTGCGTCGCGGACTCAGACTCAATCCGAGAAATCATTTTTAACTGCCGTTTTTCTGGCCATCCTTTCAAAAATACATTCTTTCCTTCGCCATTTTGTATTTGATGCCCTTTTCGCCCTGCAGGACGATTTCTCAATACTTTTTTATACACATTGCCTCTACTCGAGTTCAAAGTATAGTCGAGCGGTAATCGATATTGATGTTGATTGGCTTCTCGCTCGATACTCGGATAAGAACGTCCGCCACGGTCATTGAACGTATGTATTTCTGGTAGGGCTAACGTCCGTGGAATGGAATTTTGTTGATCTAAGTCATTTCTACTGCTCTCAAATGCATTGTTGATAATCATCTGGCCACCATCCGCACGATATATTGTTTCCCAAATAAATTGCTTAGGTAGGGGATGGGATACATTTGGCTTGTGGCTAAGACCAAGCTTCGTCAAAATTTGCCGTTTTATTGACTCTAAACGAACTTGATCGCTCGGCGCATTGTTGTTATGGGGTTTATTTGTTTTTTTGTAGAAATAATTGTTGTTTTGGTATTTGTTGTAGATGTTGTAGTCTGTATGTGGATTATCTGTGTAAATGTGATAATTGTAAAGTGTTATGTAAGTTTCATTAGATTTATTGTTCTTCTGTATTGTATGGGGAGTATTCATGTTTTGGATTCAGTATTATGAAAAGCGATACTATACTAAAGAAGTTTGCTAAGTTATCTGAGTTTTTATACCCTTTCAGAAGGTGTTACAATTTCAGTCAACAGTTTGCAACGCATTGAAGAAGACATTTCCGACCCTATAAAGTATATATATTCTTGATCAGAGTCGATCTACCCATGCCCCTATGAAGCCTTAAAGCTATCTGCTTCAAACTTTCCCTAAAGTTGTCTTTCTAAAAAAAAAAAAAAATTTTTATTTTTATTTTGCTGCTTATCTATTTATCAAAATATTCCTTATTCCTGAAATATAGTAATTTTGTACTATATCAGAATAACGGTCAAAGTCGGACAACAATATCATACAGCTGCCATAAAAACGATGGCAAACTGCAGCGCAAAATCGATATAACGACATTGTTTTTAGTAAACATAAACATCGGCTTGCCGAAGTTTGCTTCCTTTCTTGTTTTTTTTTATTTTCTGTCTAATTTTTCCAATTAAAATTTTTTAAATATGTTCAATTAACTCTATAACACCCGAGATGCTCGGAAAGGTAATGGCAAACGCAGAAAAAAGGTGTCATTTTATAATTGCTAAGAAGAGTGGCCACTTAATTGATGTTGTTTTCAAAAGCTAGTCCAGAAAAATTGGACGGAACCAAACTGAATAAAAAAATACGTCACTCATAGAAATCCGTTGTTTTTCTCAAGGATGTTCAATTTTTACATTCCGCCTTTAAAGGTGGAGCACCCTGTATGATGGAATTTATGTCCTTCATGAAAACGACCATGAAAACACTAGTTCAAAACCAGAACATGGTGTTACATTTGCTTGCAGCTAAGCAGCCCAAATAATTTACGAATAACCATGAAATAACACAGTTCCTGAAAGAAAATCATATCGACATTATGTAAACTGCCCGCCTCGCTTAACAATTTCTGAAGCACAATTCATGGATTTTTAAAACTTCACAGAACCAGGAGACTATAATGCCAAACATACCCACTGGGGATCACGACTCGTGACTCTTAAAAGAAGGCAATTATATAATGCAATTATAAATCGGAGCAACAAAATGGACTATGTTTCCCCAGGTAGCCGCACATACTGGCCGGCAGACCCCAGAAAAGTCCCGGACTTAATAGATTTTGAGGTTACAAAAAACATTCCACGCAATATAATAAGCGCCAAATCGTTTTCAGACCATTCGCCTTTGCGAATAACTCTTCTTTAAAGCCCAGAACCTACAAATCATCTCCAGAGACTGATATCGCACAGAACAAACTGGTTAAAATATAAAAAGTATGAAAGTTTCCACATCGAACTAACCCCGCAGCTTAACATCGAAGCGGACATCGAAAGATCCACTGATGCTCTTGAAGATGTACTCGTGGCAGCAGCCACTATTTCAACACCACAATTGAAGGACGTGCAAACTAACCATTTCAAAACTAATCTGCAATTGGAACAGCTTGTACTGGAAAAAACCAACAGATTGCCATTTTCAATACAACGTCTTAAGGAAGCAACTCGCACACTAAACCGAGCCCTGACGAAAGACGCTGAAAATGCACAACTGCGGTACATCGGAAAACTTTCGCCAACCAGTACAAAACATGTGGAGGGCTCACTCCGATAGAAAACCCATCAGGTAGCTGAGCCCGCAGCGATGAAGATAGAGCCGAAACTTTTGCTTCACATCTCAGAAGCGTTTTCCAGCCGAACCCTGCCACTGGTCCATTTCTCCTACCACAAATCGAATCTTTACCAACCAAAAGGAGATCGTAAAAGTCATCGGGGATCTGAAATCAAAAAAGCCTCCGGGCGGTGACCTAATAACACCAAAAATGATAATTGAACAAGCTTCCGATCGAGTCTGGCTCGACGGCCTCATGCATAAGATCAAAACACACTTGCCTACATACGCTCATAAACTACTTGAGTCGTATCTCAACAACAGAGTCTTCGCATTAAGGTGCAACACAACACCATTTGACGACTACCTTATTGAAGCTGGAGTTTCGCAAGGAACCGCACTTAGGCCTACTCTGTGCGCTGAGCGACAATATAACTAGCCAATCTCCTCATCGTAGTTGAGATGTGACTATCTGATTGGCGAATTAAAAACAAACACAAAAATTGACGTCCACTTCGACAGACTATTAACCTGGAGAAGACACATCGAATGCAAGAAACTACATCCTGCTCTACAACTCTACTCCCAAGCCTATCTGGACATTGACATCATACAGCACGCAGAATCGAAAATCCTGAGAACTATCACTGGGGCCCCATGGTATATTCGCAACCAAAATTAGATTACTATAATACTATTATTGTTAGTATCTAAAAGGAGAAAATTCAATAAATAAATAGAAAAGCAAAGAAAAAAAAAAAAATTAGTAATTGCTTATAATTTGTGTGTAAAGAGGCGCTACATAAGAATACAAAAATCTGTTATTTTGCAGCCATTATAAAAATTTTGTAGAACAGACACATTAACTATGATGCCTTTTTCCACAGAACTGCAAAAGGTTTAACTTCGGGGACTTTTAATGTAGATGTTGGTGGTATATTAAATGTATGTTATAACAAAAACGAGGACGGAAGATAACTTCGGCAAGCCGAAGTTTTAATACCCTTGCAGACAGTCGGCCGATCCCGGCCGTTCCGACTAATATACTACGTGCAAAGGAACGAAGGGTGTGTGCAAAGTTTCAATTCGATATCTTTAAAACTGAGAGACTAGTTTGCGTAGAAACAGACAGACGGACAGACGGACATGCTTATATTAACTCAGGACGCGATCCTGATCAAGAATATATATACTTTATAAGGTCGGAAATGTCTCCTTTACTGCGTTGCACACTTTTGACCAAAATTATAATACCCTCTGCAAGGGTATAAAAAGGGATATTTTCACAGCCTTTAACAATCATTCCTATGGAAGCGTCTGATCAGCAAGCGCTTTTACCCTGATCAAGAAATGCGTAAATAAGTAAGACTTGGAAAAATTGATGACAATAGCTTATAAACTGCGCGAAATATCCTGAAAAACATCAAATTTGGACTGATTTAACCATATTATTCCTATGGAAGCTTTAGGATGTAGACGTCTGATCGGTACGCCCATATATCATGATCAAGGTATGCATAAAAAAATAAGATTTGGAAAGATTTATGTCAATAGCTCGTATACTGCTCGAAATATTCTGAAAAGTATAAAATTTTAAGCGATTTCACCTTATTGTTTCTATGTGAGCTATAGGATATAGACGTCCGATCGGCACGCGCTTTTACCCTGATCAAGGTATGCATAAAAAAATAAGATTTGGAAAGACGCATGTCAATAGATTTTAGACTGTGCGAAATATCTTCCATTCTTGAAAGTTATATCCCATTGTTCCTATGGGAGCTCCAGGATATAGATAGGCGTGCAAAGGAACGACACCCTTCGGTCCTTTGCGCGCCTGCAAGTTTCAATTCGATATCTTTAAAACTGAGAGACTAGTTCGCGTAGAAACAGACAGACGCACAGACGGACATGCTTATATCAACTCAGGACGCGATCCTGATCAAGAATATAAATACTTTATAGAGTTGAATATGTCTTCTTCAATATTTTGTTTACAGTAAACGATAAAGCGATACAAAATACTGCTCAATCAGCAAATCGACCCTTCAACAAGAAAGGAAGCAATCTTCGGCAAGCCAAGGTTTATATACCCTTGCAGTTAGTAAAAATCGACTACATTTAAATTTGTATGCCTATATTACTAAAATCAAATGCGCTGCATTTTGCCATCATTTCTATGGCAGCTGTATGATATTGTCGTCCGATTTTGACAAAACTAAAACTGTAATTCTGATATAACATAGTAAATAATTACTATATCTCTAAGGAATATTTTGATAAATAAAAAACAGCAAAATACAATTTTTTAATATAGATGTCAGATTTTAGTTTAATTAATGCCGTAATTTCATAATATTTAAATATTACCAAATCCTAAGGAACAACACAAACAAATTAAAAACAACAAAGTTATAATTTTTACATTTTTTCCGATTGTTCCTATGGGAGCTTATGATATAGTCGATATACACGATCCGGCTGGTTCCGACTTATATACTACCTGCAATAGAAAGACAACTTTTGGGAAAGTTTCAAGCAGATAGCTTTAAAACTGAGGTACTAGTTTGCTTAGGAACGAACGGACGGACAGACGGACATGGCTGGATCGACTCTTCTGGTAATGCTGATCAAGAATATATATACTTTATAGGGTCGGAGATGTCTCCTTTACTGCGTTGCACACTTTTGATTGAAATTATAATACCCTCTAGCTGCCATAGAAACGTTGGCCAAATGCAGCGCAAAATCGACATAGCTTCATTGTTTTTAGTAATATAGGAATATAAATCGAAATGTAGTCGTTATGTAATAACTACAAGGATATATAAACTTCGGCTTGCCGAAGTTAGCTTCCTTTCTTGTTTAGTTTGAAGTAGATTGGGACAGAAAAGTTAAGACGACTGTTAAGAACACCAAAAGTCATACTTGATGAACAATAAAGATCTCAGAGAGAGGCAAAGCTCTCTCTTCTCTTTTTTCTATCCCTCTCTGCCTAAGAACGTTTTGTTTCCTTTTTCTGTATGCACATGCGTACCCCTCTCTGCAGATCCGTTCATCACCTTTTAATCGATGAACAATCACCAAAAATTCATCACTGCTGATGATTAACTGATGAAATTTCAAACAAAATAGTGATGAATTTAACATTGGCATGCCCTGGAGTTATTCAGTGAAAAATTCATCACATTTTAATCAGTAATTCATCACTTTTTAGGGAGGGTACAGAGGGTATTATAATTTCAGTCAAAAGTTTGCAACGCAGTGAAAGAGACATTTCCGACCC